ATAACTCATTAGCATAACTTATTTGCATATGCCACACCCCCTGACATCACTGGAAGTGTGTCAGAAGGCAACACCCACCGCTCAGGCTCCACTGGACTGTTTTGGATTGCTAGCTATTGGGGGAGGGGGGGACATGCAGATCTGTCCTCGCAGAGGAGGGAGAGCTTGTACCTGAATAAAACTTGGTCTTAAAGGTGCCACTGGATTCTTTTGGATTGCTATCTGGCGGTGGTGGGGCTCTGCAACTTACCTGGCTGCTTCTTGCTCTGACTGAGGGCTGCTGGGAGCAGGGGGTGGGGCTTGTTGCATGTGCCCGCCCCTTGGGCTCTTTACTGCCGGAGCTCTGCTCCTGCAGGAAATTACCCCTGGGGAGCACTGCCCCCCCCACACCAATGCTCCCTCTAAGCTGTGGAGTCCTCTGGGCAAAAATTCCACTTTGTGAGGCTGTGAGTTCCCCTCTGGGCAGACTGGGGGATCAAGGCACCTGCTTTGTGGTCTAGCCAGACATATTCTGTTAAGGAAGGTCGGGGGAGGGGGGGACTCCACTCCAAACGCGTCCTACCGATGGGCAGATCGCTCTCGGGTGGCGGCCTGCAGCCACCCGTTCGGAGTGCGTGTGCTATGCTACAAAACGCAGACCACCTCTAAGGAGTGTGTCAGGGCACGCGTGTGTGCTGGGACAAATTCACACGGGAGCGTTACGAACAACCAGGGCTTTTTTTGGTAGAAAAAGCCCAGCAGGAACTTATTAGCATAACAGGCCACACCCAACAGCAGGAACTCATTAGCATATCGGGCCACACCCCTGACAGCACAGCTCATTAGCACATTAGGCCGCACCCCCGTGTTTCCAGAAGTGTGGTCATCCAGCCACACCCACCTTTTGCTTCTTACTCTGTTTACCTTGTTTGTTGTCAAAACCCAGGGCCTTTTTTTGTAGCAGGGACTCCTTTGCATGTTAGGCCACACACCCCTAATGTAGCCAATCCTAATGAGTCTCTGCTGTTGGGTGTGGCCTATTATGCTAATGAGTTCCTGCTGGGCGTGGCCAACTCGGGAGCCAGCCGGAACTCCGTTCCTGTGCGTTACGCCCCAAAAATAGCCCTGCAAACAACCCTAATTCAGACACGGGATTCTTCCTGGCTTCGCCTTCTGCTCTCTCAGGGGACCAGCCAGGAAAGAATGCTGTCTGGTTAACAGCTTCCATCCAGCATTCCCTCGAAGCTGAGTTAGTGTGAGCTAGCTCACAGTTTTTCCAGCCTCCGGCTCACACATTTCTGTCTCCGCTCAGGAAGGGATGCCTCCGGAGCAAACCGATTGATGCCGTAGCCAGATTGCTCGCTCACAACTTCAATGCCAGGAGCTCACAAAGTAGAATTCTTGCCCACAAGACTCCACAGCTTAGAGGGAGCATGACTCTCACCCCAGCCTTCCAGCAAAACTCTGATCTTATGCACCGTCGTGGTGTTTTGGTGGCTGGTGGGGGGGACAAACCCTCATGCCCCCCCCCTCTCGAACTGCTGCCTGCAGTGCTGGCCCTGCCCCCTTTCTACAAAGTTCTAGGCCTGACGGAGCTGGATTCGGTTAAATTTTTATCCCACGCTTTCCACCAAGGAGCTCCGGATGGCCTAGAAGGGTCTCCCTTCCCCAGTCTGTCCTCTCAACCGCCCTGTGAGGTAGGCTAGGTGTGTGTGTGTGGGGGGAGAGTGACCGGCCAGAGATCACTTTGTTGGCTGCGTGGCGGAGTGGGGATTCGAACAGGGACATAAGAACATAAGAGACGCCAATGTTGGATCAGGCCAAAGGCCCATCCAGTCCAACACTCTGTATCACACAGGGTCCTAGCCTGGCACCCTAACCGCTACACTGCTCCGCTTACCAAGGCCACTTTCCATGGTCAGTTTTCGGCTGCGTGTGACCGAAGCCACTTAGATGGTGATCGACATCAATGCTCCCTCTAAGACGTGGAGTCTTATCTCCTGGGTCCTAGCCTGGCACCCTTACCGCTACACTGCTCCGCTTCCCAAGGCCACTTTCCATGGTCGGTTTTCGGCTGTGTGTGACCGAAGCCACTTAGAGGGTGACCGACATCAATTCTCCCTCTAAGCCGCGGAGTCTTATGAGTAAAACCTCTACTTTGTGAGCTCCTGGCATTAGAGTTGTGAGTGAGCAATCTGGCTACTGCATCAATCAGTTTGCTCCGGAGCCACCCCTTCCTGAGCGGAGACAAATACGTGTGAGCTGGAGGCTAACGAACAGTGAGCTAGCTCACACTAACTCAGCTTAGAGGGAATGCTGGACCGTACAAGGGAGCACAGCTCTGATTTACCCCCACGGGGACTTTCGGTTCAGGTTCTGAAGAAGAAGAGACTGGATCTGTGCCCCGTCCTTCACTACCCAAAGGAGTCTCAAGTGGCTGACAATCGCCTTCCCTTCCTCTCCCCACAAGAGGCACCATGCGAGGCAGGTGAGGCTGAGAGAGTCCTGAGTGAACCGTGACTGGCCCAAGGTCACCCAGCAGGCCTCATGTGTCTCAAAGCAGCTGACAATCGCCTTTCCCTTCCTCTCCCCACAAGAGGCACCCTGTGAGGCAGGTGGGGCTGAGAGAGTCCTGAGAGAACCGTGACTGGCCCAAGGTCACCCGGCAGGCCTCAAGTGTCTTACAATCTCCTTCCCTTCCTCTCCCCACAACTGGCACCCTGTGAGGCAAGTGGGGCTGAGTCCTGAGAGAACTTGTGACTGACCCAAGGTCACCCAGCTGGCTGCATGTAGAGGAGTGGGGGATGAAACCCGGTTCTCCAGGCTAGAGTCCACCACCCTTACCCACCGCACCCCCACTGGCTCTCAGTTCAGGCCCACGTGGCTTTTCTCAACCCTATAGCCTTCCTGCAACCCTCTTCCCAATCGCCGTGGTGGGGGAAAGCACCATCACGTTGCAGCGGACTTATGCTGTCCCCCTCATGTGGTTTCCAAGGCAAGAGACAAGCAGAGGTGGTTTTTGCCATCGCCTGCCCCTGCGAAGCAACCCAGAACATCCTCGGTGGTCTCCCATCCCAGTACTAACCAGGGCCGACCCTGCTTAGCGTCCGAGGTCTGACGAGATCGGGCCGGCCTGGGCCATCCATGTCGGGGCCTTCCCATTCTCCCCAAAGGGTCCATATCCCTGGGGCGGAGCTCCCCCAAAGCCCCACCCACAAACCTTCTGTAAGTGCATGTTCTTGGTCAGCTGCTCCTCCAGCATATTCTGAAGCTTCTTGTTCATCTCACGCACGTTCTCGTCTCCCGGCTTCACCAGGTCACGCAGGACGCTGCTCAGGCTGCTGCGGTCAACCTGCCCGTGGGCTCCGGACACATCTGCCGAAAAAGCGGGATGGGGGGGGGAGAGAGTAATTTGATGGGCACCTCAAGGCTCCCCAGGAAAACAAGAGCTCTGGTCTGACTGTACCGCTTGAGACAGGGTCCCCCAACATAAAGCCATTCCCATTCCTTGCCATGCAGAAAACTAGCAACGCAGGAGGGAAAGATCCCTTTTGCCCTGATATCTAGCTTTCTACATGTGGGGATTTCTTTTTTTTGTACGAGAGGCAGATTCCATCATGTGAGCCCCCCCAAAAAATGGCCGCTGTAGGGGGTGAACTCTGTGGCATTAGAGACCCCATTGAAGTCCCTCCCCAAACTTTGCCATTTTCAGGCTCGATCCCCCAAACATCCAGGTATTCCCCAGCTCAGACCTGGCAAAGGAGGAGGAGGAGAGTTGGATTTATACCCTGCCCTTCACTCAGAGTCTCAGAGCGGCCTACAATCACCTTCCCTTCCCACAACCGACACCCTGTGAGGTAGGTGGAGCTGAGACAGCTCCAAGAGAACTTGTGACTGACCCAAGGTCACCCAGCTGGCTCCATATGGAGGAGTGGGGAATCAAACCTGGTTCTCCCAGGTTAGAGTCCGCACTCTTAACCACTACACCAAACTGCCTCTCAAAATCATCTAGCATGTTAAAATCTTCCAGCTCTGGATGTTAGACTGGTGATGAATGCCCTCCTTCCCTGGGTGTTCTTAACCAATCAGGGATCATGTTAATGCATAAGAACATAAGAGATGCCAATGTTGGATCAGGCCAAAGGCCCATCCAGTCCAACACTGAGTCACACAGTGGCCAAAAATACCAGCTGCCATCAGGAGGTCCAGCAGTGGGGCCAGGACACTAGAAGCCCTCCCACTGTTGCCCCCCCAAAGCACCAAGAATACAGAGCATCACTTGCCCTAGCCTGAGAGTTCCTATCTATGCCTTGTGGCTAATAGCCACTAATGGACCTCTGCTCCATATGCTTATCCAATTCCCCCTTGAAGCCGTTAATGCTTGTAGCCTCCTGTGGCAGTGAATTCCATGGGCTAATCACTCTCTGGGTGAAGACGGACTTCCTTTAACACCCGTCGCCATGGTGCCACGTAGCCAATCAGGCTTAGCTGTGTGGCAATTCTGTGAAGTCAATTCAGAGTGAGGGCCGGAGGCAGCGTTCTCAGTCCGAATTGGCGCTGGGGAGAGAGGTGTCCTGCAAACATCTTTTGCTCCTGGTTAGTCTCCAGCCCAGGTCATCAGACTTGAGAGTTCCTTTTGTGTGAGGCAGATCTGTTCACTCAGCACAAAGCCTCCATTTCGGATCTGTGTTACATTTCAACAAAATCAACCACCGGACACACAGCGGCGTCAGCTGCCTCCCCTCCCCTCTCACCAAGCCGGCGCTCGGCCCCCTCCAGTGGGGGACGTGTCTGGACGGCCCTCCGCCCGCTAACCATTACTCACCACTCTCCTCTCCCAAAGCCTGGGATAGATCTCAATCTCTTCAGGGGGCTGATGTAAATTTGGGGTCTTTTCCCCGTAGGAAGGCTGAGGAGCTGCTCAGCCGTGAAATTAGCAACGCAGCGGGAGAGAGATAACAGCACCAGCCTGTCCTCCGCCCCCACCCGGGGAAAATGGGCTTGGAAGAGAGAGAAATCGGGGAAAAGAAATTGAATGAGACCCCCCCACACCTGTCTGCTAGAAGAAGCAGCCTGAGCCGATTCCACCGAAGGGAGAAACCAGACCGGGAGGGCAAGCACGGACTCTGCGGGGTGCGCCAGATGGGTCCCGTAACAATGGCTTCAGCCCCCCACTTCGAGAGGCAGACAAGCAGGGGACTGGCAGTGGTGGTGGGGATCTGCGAGGGATGCCCGACGGGGAGCGAGAGAGACGCAAGGAGGCACGGCGGCCCCTCGATCCAATAAACCATACGAGTTTTTATTTGATGATGATTCATCAGTTCCAGAATCTATTCGATCCGAAGGGGGCAAAAAGAAGGGGGTGGGAGGGGGGAGTTCTTTCCGCTTTTCAGATTACGGATGTCGGCAGCAACAGCAGGCGCCCTCTGGGAAAATAAGAAAAATCGGCCGCTCCTCCGGTACATGGGAAGAAGAAAGAGCCTGGCGAGAGAGAAATCCCCCGGGGCCAGGCGCTAAGTGTTTAATTTAAACTTTAAAAAAAAAAAATAAATCCTGCTATATTAATCAGGGTCACCTTTTCCATACATCCGTGGAAAGGTTTGAAAAATCCCCGCATCTGACTAAAGTCTGCCGCTGTAATAAATCACACGCTTAGGACTCGGGCTGAGAGCGGCCTCTCTGAGCTCCTGCAGAGTATTTCCTCCGCGCCGCCCCCGTCCGGAGGCAGGAGAGAAACGCACACCTGTTAGGCCAGTGCAACACCTGGGTGGGCTGGTGGCTAGGGAGCTGCCCCCCAGTCGATGGCGTGCACGGTAAGGGCGGCTCGGACTGAGGTTTGAGAGACAGGCCGGATTCTGCCGCGTACTGCTTGGATCTACCCAGTTCTTACCGGCTCAACCGCTCCGGGCCCTGAAATCAGAAGTCGCTAAGCCTCTTTGGGCCCCTCTTCTTTTCAGAAACCCACCTCTGGCGGGATGTCCCCTGGCTACAAACGCACCCTTCTCACATTAAAGCAACACCACGTGCACGAGCCCGAAGCGCACGCGCTATGGCACTGTCCCTGGCGATCAGACCAGGGCTCATAAAGGGCCAAGACGGACAGCTCAAGAGATCTCGAGGCCTTCTTGACACAGGCAATGCTGTGGGGAAGGCCTGCGCGTCCACCCCCCCTCCGGTGGCTGTCTGCCGCAGTTTGCTCTCCCCGATTCCCCAGAGTGACACGGGGCCGAAGCAGCTGCGACATTTCGATCGATCCCGCCTGCTCTCCCTGCTCCGGAACTTCGGCCCTCATCAGCCCGGCTGTCTTTCAAGGCCGAAATCCTTCTGTACCTTGTCTCTGAACACGCCTGCCTGCCTCGGGCGTGCACGCCTCCGCCTCCCTCCTTCCCTGGCTGTGGAAAGCAGCCAGGAATCCTCTCTCCCGGTGTCAACTCTTCCGACCGGGAAAGGCGAACTGCCTTGCCTCCCTGCGCATCGATATATGCGACACCGAGGGCGAGGTCGGGCCCGGTGCAGCCCGACCTCCCTGTGCCACTCGCCTTCAACCGTCAACTTGATTTCGGACCTCCGAGTCACCCTTGAACGGCACGACGGATACGCCGGTTTGCAAATTAGAATTCTGCACCCTTCTGCAACCGCATCGTTTATGCAAACCGGCATGATTATTATTATCCTTTTACTTTGTGCATTATTCCGTCAATGTGAGTGTTTTATTGACTCGTGGGGATGAGAGAAGCCCGACGAAGGGGACAGAAATCCTGCCGCTTAGTCACTGGAGATCCCATTCTGCCCTGTTCCCTGCAAGAGCCAGAAATCCTATTCCTCTCTACTAAGTGATCCCTTCAAAAATTGCCGGAATAAGAGCTTGAAAACTGCTTTTTCTTTTTAAAGGTATGAAAACAGCCACCGCTTCCAGAATCGTGTGCCTGAATTAGTGTGATTACACACATGAGAGAGAGAGAGAGAGAGAGAGAGAGAGAGAGAGAGATCAAGGTGGGCCAGCCCTGTTGGTCTGAAGCAACACAACAAAGTTAGAGTCCAGCGGCACCTTTAAGACCAACACATTTTCATTCAAGATGTGAGTGTTCGTGTCCACAGCGCACTTTGTCAGGTGATGAAATGGAATTACAGACCGCAATTGTATCTACAGGGGTGGCTTGTTAAATTAGCATGCAAAAGAGTGAGGACACTTATTTTTTTAACAGATCGAAAGAATGACACCCTCCTTTTCTGGTTATCATCTGTTTTGGTTCAACGTCTAATTGGTGAGAATCCCGTCAGAGAGAGAGAGACAGACAGAGAGAGAGACAGACAGAGAGCGAAACAGACAGTCAGAACCCACAGCCAACAACGAAGTACACGCATTCAGGAACGGTCATACTTTTATTGCAGAGCTATGGATGCAGTAACATAAGCACTGTTAAGAATGGCGGTGGCCCCATGGGCATAATAGGATATAGGGTATTTGTATGCACCCCCCCAGAGCACTGGCCAATTAGGCACCCTCCTGCGTGCGGGATAAAGCTTGGAGACCGCTAGGTAGCTAAAGCTGAGAACCAACACTCTCCCACGGCACCTAGGAGAAACCCAGACAATACAACTCCCTCCTGCACATCTGTATAGATAAGCATTTCGGTGCAAAGCAGAACAAGCACAGAAAGGAATGCAGTAGCAATTAACTAGACACAGACCGAGATCCCCAACCCCCATGGCAGCGTAGCTGACAAGACAGACAGACACAGAGAGACAGAGACAGAGAGAGAGGTCTAGTCTGACCTACCAACCAGAGTTCCCTCTAAGCTGAGTCAGCGTGCGCTAGCTCACAGTTTTTTAACTTCCAGCTCACACATCCTTGTCTTTGCTCAGGAAGGAGGGCTCCAGAGCAAACTAATTTATGCAGCTGCCAAATCGCTCGTTCATGACTTTAATGCCAGTCGCTCACAAAGTAGAATTTTTGCTCACAAGACTCCACAGCTTAGAGGGAGCATTGCTACCGACATGTGTGGAAGGGAATGTCTGCATCTTTAACCAGTCTTCTTGCTGTCCAGGGGCCTCTTTAAGACCAACAAAGCTTTCACGTGCATGCACTGAATGTAACACAAGGAATATTTGGCTGACATACACTGCTCCCACCTCGGAAAAAGAAAGTAAAAATGCTGTTCAGCAGTGTTCCCTCGAAGCTGAGTTAGTGTGAGCCAGCTCACAGTTTTTTAGCCTCTGGCTCACACATTTCTGTCTTAGCTCAGGAAGGGATTTATTTATTTATTTATTTTTAGATTTATAACCCGCCCTCCCCAAGTGGGCTCAGGGCGGCTCCACAGCAAACTGATTTATGCAGCAGCCAAATCGCTCGCTCACAACTTTAATGCCAGCAG